TCTTGACCGATCAAGGGAATTGCATTTCATTCCTATTTCACACACGTCTGAATCCAGACTGTGTACTAAACAAACCATTGCATAATGATCTTACAGTAAATTGACCCTGCCTCATCCACTCACTCATCCACGACCGTAAAAGTGGAAAACACTTTGGCAGATAGAAATTCTGGCTAAAAACCGATATTCGTATGTTTTTGTGATATGGTCCAGTCTGACTTATCACCGGGGTCAGAAAAGTAACACAAACAAAAAACTGCTATGTTAATTAACCGGGTTTATCCAATGGATGAACTACATTTTGAACTCGTGTACGAAGAGTTGTCTGAGATGACTCTAAATGACGTGTTTCACATCAGCACTTGGTCATGCCTTTGGTTTCACCTATTCACTCAATGGAATTTCGAACCTTCACCCTCGTCCCCCGAGTTTTCACTGAACATAACTAACAACCCCGGAGTACGTGTGTCCGAATCCCACTACCAACGCCTGAATTCCTCTTGTCCGATTTGTTGTATTGAAGCTCTCCGATTGGTCGCTCCCTCCACCCTCCTGAAAATTGTATCATTATATATTGAATAAAAAGAATATGAAGTAGAAGAAAACTAAATCAATCATTTTAGACACACAATCCTGGGGAAAATGCTAAATACGGCATTTCAGTTGTTCAGTCTTCAATAAAAAAGAGAAGAAGATCAGTATCACAGGACCACCTCATGAGAAAACTATAATATCGCTCTTGAGTGTGATGTGAATAATGTATGACGACCGTTCCATCACAGAACTCAAACGCACCTTTTGAGTATTACTTGTAACAGGTCCTCGATAGACAACTGTTCTTGTTTCAATACAGTCAAACTTTAATTCACACTTGGATGCATGCATACGTGAACTGTGACATAACCTTCCAGTCGAAATGCTCCCTCTCTCTCTCTCTGTTCTCAGCGGATTTGAGACCTGGGTTGCATGCATACTCCTAGACTAAATTAATACCGCGGAACAATTATCAGCTTTTGGTCAACGATGTTCTATTGTACGAATGTGGAGATCAGCCTAGTGAACACCATACAAAATGGCGAGGTCACTCGGACCGTTAACCAAAAAATGCGCACTATAGCATCGGTGAACTCCTGCCATTTCTGAGACGAGACCATTGTGATTTGGAACCTGCGTTTCTCGACTCATCAAAACACTTCCGTGGCAGTCCATTACCGTTTTTCTGCCTCGATCGCCTAATACATCATAAATTGGGTCTTGATTGGTTGCATCGCTTAACTAATCCGTGAATACCACACTCCACTTGGTAGGCAGCAGAAATTCTCCTCCAACAGGCCACGGCAGTGATTAACTGGGCTCGGTTAATTTGGAACTAGTTCTGTAGAACGTCGAAGTCACGGTGACTGGTTAGGCCAAAGACACGGTTTAAATTCAAACTTGTTCGTTTTCCTTACATCAGCATCCTGTCATCTGAGTCGCCTCTAGATCAAGCTGACTCATGTATCCAGGGTTGGACGCAGAAAGTCCCTTCCGGAAATGTCCGAGAGATGTGTCAGTGGTATGAAGAATTTAAATTCAGCGTTGACTTTCGTTTACTGCCATTGCTTTGATAGTCTGATAGATAGGGCTCAGTACAGAATCAGTGGCACCAATGCCGTAGTCATTGTCACTCCGTACACAATAAAAATGCATCTTTGAGAAGCGTAGAACACTTGACAACGAAACAAACAAACAAACAAACAAACAAACAAATTGCCATTCTTGTTCTCTGCAATCCGGTTTTTCTCGTTTGCTTCATTCGTACAAGACATATGAGATTACCGGTGCTCACATCGGCCAAACAATAAAAATCGCACAAAAAAATCGTTATTTTAGTAATTTATTCTTTCAGATCAGTCACCAATTTGCATTCGTGTTGTTCTCCCTATATATACATCCGGCTGGGATGCACTTTTCAATCCAGAAACTTCAATAACCATTTATCCTTTAGGGTTAGGATCGTCTTGTTCTCATGATCCCGGCCGATAGGATTTAGGAGTGCCGGTTAGCTCAACTGTCATTCGGTGTAGGTTGGAATTACTATACTAATTGAATCTAGCAGCCTCCTCTGTGCTCATGAGTTGAAGATCGATCGTGAGATTTGCAACAGCGACTTTAATGACGGCGACAAAGCGTGCGCAACATTGCATTACATGGCATTAGCCGAATCGCTTAATATGCACTACCTTTTAAACTATTCTAATGGCTCTCATAGATGATCTTAAATGTTCAATTGGGCTTTCCCAGGTGTAACACTTAAATTTCAACTATCCTATAACTTCTGATTGTTTGGCGTTACTGGTGAACGTTGTGTGATATTCAATGGGTGGCGTAAGCAGGAAGCATCTAGGATTATTCGCAATCGAGAGGAAGAACGAGACAGATAGGATAGAGGTTTTACCAAGTGGGTGCCTGAGACTTTAGGATGTGACATGACTTTGGAGTAGCCCACACCGACGAAGGAGGTTTTCTTTGGGAACCCTAAACGGAGCCTCCATAGATTACGCTGGTTGGGAGCGTATATTGCGCATGTCGCCAAGTAAATTGTCACGGCCTATGGTGTTTGCCGAGACAGGTAGTGAATGAAAAACGTCAAGGGCGGCCAAACTAACATCTAGAATAAGAGTA